CCAATACTTTAATATATATTAGTTTAGTTTTATTTTTATGATAAACTTGTGTGTTACCCACGATCCTACTGGGTTTATCCGCTAAACCCATAACCCTATTAGGATAACCTACCAAAACCCATTTATTTATATGGGTAAACAAATCCAACCCAAACCGGAGTCAATTAACTAAAGTTAAGTTTCAACATTCAAAACTAAACCCTAAACCGAAACCCCTAAAATATACTCTAATTATACAATAGTTAACCGAAACAAAAAAAATTTAAATCATAAAACCTTGAAAATCAATTTTGTGTTTGTGGTATTTGTAGAATATTTAAAAAATTGTAGTATTTGTGGAACATTTGAAAAATGGTGGTACTTTTGGAAACATAACTTCAAAGTATGGTATCCTATGAAATTCGTCTTATTAAAATCAACGAATTTTATGAATTTTCAAATTAATAGTCGTCTATAAAACTTGCAAAAATTATATTATCCTCTGTTTATTATGAGTTTGTAGAAATATTCGTAATCACAAACATATAATGCCATATACACTCATGAATTAGAATTTGTTCAGTAGTTATTTATATAAATGATTGAATGTGAAATTTAATATAAATATATAATTATTTTTAAATATTTTTAATAACTAAATATTAAAAATTTATTAGTTTCTGAAAWTTTATCCTTTAAATTTTTAATTTAAAATACATTTTTCAAACTTCGGCAAAAAACTCGGATTCTTAAAAAGATTTATGGCATTATATGTTTCTGATAACGAATATTTCTCATCCTTTCTATGCAAGATGCCTTTTGGTTTAGAATGTTTTTAACTTAAATGAATGGTTCATCCCACACGATTTTATCCCACAAAAAAATTAAATCCAGTTGGAGCCGAAACAAAAAAAATCATATCATATAGATTTAAGAGAAATTAAAAAGTCTTTCCATCCCAATTGTTGTTGATGCGCTTCTTTTTCTCTCTCAAACGATCTAGAAGATAAATATAACCTTCTTCGAGAATGGATATACCTTTCCAACTTTGGCAACTCCAAGAGAGGCCTTCTCAAGCATGAAAATAACATCGGGCTTTTCCGTTTTATGATCAGCAAGGTTAATAGGTATCCCTTCATTAGTATCAATATCTCATCTTGTTCTTCCTCAATCACTTCCTTCTCTGCAATTGTGATAAGAAATTGGAGGTTGACAAAAAATGGGTGTTTGTATTCTCCTTTCGTCATCTTGTTTTTCCTCAATCACTTCCTTCTCATCTGACAAAAAATCCAGATGGAGGTCTTAAAATGACAAAGCGAAGATAAACTATTATATCTCTTCTTCCATAATTGATCGTTAAGAGTTTATAAACATCAACTCATCAATATCTTATATTGGTCAAGGTATACGTTTGTTTATTGGCGATCACGATGACATTGTCATGTCAAATTACTTATTGCTCTGTATTTCATGTTTATTAGGAAACTCAGTCTCATATGTATCAAGAGCTTTCTAAGTCCTTACAATTGAAAGAAAAGGGTTAGCAACTCTCTTCTTCAATGAAGTCATTTATCGAAAGGCACAAATATAATGTGTGATTTCAATAAGAAGAGGTTACTCACTATGCTTGAGAGACCTTCTCTGCAATAGAAGCACCTTTTCATATCAAAAGGTTTTTTTTATAATGAGAGTTTGGAATCACCGAAAGCTACTCCATATAAATGCAGGTCCTCTCTGCAATCCATATAGACAGAGAATTAAGGAAAGCAACAAAAATGTTGAAAGATTACCTTACCTTTTGCTTTGTAAGCTTCCTCTGCATTCTCAATAAGCATTATAGTCTTAATGCAGATTCCACAGAATCCTTTGTATTAAACTATCATCATCTTATTTCTTCAACGGAAGCTCCAAACGGAGCCTAAAACCAACACACTAAATCACAAATAAACTATCAAGGTTCGTCTTATTTCTTCAATCTTTTGCTAGCCTCCAGGAAAATCAAAAAGACGCACACTGAAAGAAACTAACCTCATTTCCATTTAGGTCCTCGTCTGAAGAATGCTTTAGTACGCTTAACAGAAGGTGGATGAGAATCCKCTGGACATCCCCTGATATATTAAGAAAGGCAAAAATCAATCAAAACAACTAACAATTTATTTATTTGGGAGCAATAAATCTCAGTTCTATTTGTGATTCGTTTCGATTCGATTAGATCAAACTTACCTTGAGGTTAGGCCTAGCGGCTCTTCCTTTTTCAACCATAAGTAAAGCGATCATCGACTCACTGTTCAACCATGTATAAATCATCATCAATCGAAGAAGAAAAATGGAAAAGCGAGATCCAACAATGATGTTAAGTACTACCGATTAGAGAAATT